CTGTTTTTTGTGGGTGAATAACTATTGTTGGGATGCTATGTTTATAAACAGATGATAAGCATAAGTAACAAACTTCTATTCTACAGAGATCACAACATGAACGCTTCTCAAGAGAAGGATACCAAAGGAAATTGTAACACTTAGTGTTTGTATTACCTGTATTGTATTTCCATGCATGAATACAGTCTGTAATTTCAACATTAACAAAGTTTAGATTTTTAAACATTTCATCATCTCTATCATCAATTTCAAAAGAATTATGGTAACCATATTTCTGTTGCAAAGAGGTTTGTGATGGTGAAAGTTGTTCTATGAAAGAATAATCACTTTGTTGTTGGATGTCATGCATATCTTCTATACTAACAATAGAATAGATATCTGAGTTAGTTGAGACATCCGAAGTAATGTCAACTAAGTCTTCATTGGTGCAGTTGATAAGATCAACACTTTGATTAAAGAGTGTTCTTTTCCCAGGGCATTTACTAGATAAATGGTCTTCTTTTCCACAAGCATAGCAAGTAAATTTGCTATAGTTCTTGTTTTCTTTATAATTCCTTACATGTTTTTCCTTATTAAGTGTAGGCTTTCTAGCACTAGACTTTCTAAGAAAATAAGATTTCTTTGGTTTTGTTTGCTTCTTAAAAACTTGTTTTGTCTTAGGGGATTTGTCATAAGTTTGAGGAGTGTAGATAGAGGAGCAAAATCATGTATCTCTTTTCTTTAACTATCTTTGGGTTTAGATCATGGAACATTTAGCTTTAAGATTATCTATGATAATCTTAGCTCTAACTGTTGCATTATCCCATTAAGCATCTACACTTGGTTGGTCTTGTTTCCATTTAAGCTCTATTTCTCTTCCTAGTTCTCCAGGTAATTTTGTAAAAATTCTGTTGCAAACATTAGCATCATAATAATTACCAGCAATAGCAGCAAGATGAACAAAATCATTTAGAAATAGAACAATCTTTTTCCAATCATGGAGCTGGAGTTGTTCAAGATCTCTAAGAGCTTCATTTTGTTTTATTGATAAACCAGATAAGGTATCTCCTCCATTAATAATTCTAAGAATTGTTGAGGTGAAATTCCTTATGTTGTTTCCTTGTGAGACAAGTTGTGCAAGTGGTTCAGGGAAATGTTTTTTCCAATCTTCCCATGTAGCAAGTGCAGTAGTTCCAAGATAATTTTCAGCAATAGAAATCATTACCTCGACATTGATATATTTTTCAAGATATTTTGCTATGTAGTCACGATGTACTTCTTGAGACCAGGTTTCAAGATAAGAGTTCCATAACTGAGCATGAATATCAGTTAGATTTAACAAAGGTGTAGATTTCCAAGTGAAAGTTGGGTCAGTTGGTAATMTTCTTCCTTTATTCCTATAACTAAGGGTTGGTTCATTATAACCTTTAGCTTGAGTTCTAAGAGGTCTACCAGTTTCATAAGCCATGGTTTCAAGTCTTCCAGGTACAGGGTGTGTGACAGTAGATCCACTTCCTTCATTCATAAGAGCAAAGTTAATGGACTCTACAGAATCGGATAAGAAAGAGTCTAAAAGACTTTCATCTTTTGGAGTCATTCTTATGTTTCCCAAATTGTTGGGTTCAAGATTAGAGCTAAAATGTTGTATTCAAGTTTCTCCATTTACTTAGCTTTATTGTAATTAGTTTAGCTTTATTTTCCTTAGTATAAATAGTCTTTTCTTTGTAATTGTAATTACACATTGATTACATCATTAATCAGAGAAAAAGGTGATTTGACAGCAAAGTAATTCTCTCTCTCCAATCCATCTTGTATTCATCTTTGTTCTTGATATTTGATGAAGATTACTTAAAGATTCGTATGAAATTTGGACTTTTCAATTGGTATCAGAGCAAGCTGCAGCAGTTTGGATTTGAAGATATCCATTTTACACATTTTGCACRAATTTTTTGTTAATTTTTCGATCTGATTCATCTTTGTTCATCACTGTTCTTGACTGTTCTTGATAATTTTTTTTACCAGATTGGTTTTTGGGTCATAAATTGATCATTTTTGGGTGTTTTTAATCAAGATTTACCTCGCCAGTTTCGGTTTTGCATTTTATACAACTTTGATTCACACTATTTTGTGATTTTCAGAAGATTTGATGCTTAAAATGACCAAAATCAAGTTTTAGTTTTTCTGAAAAAAGTTTATAAAAACTCATATTTTTTCATGTTTTGATCCATTTTTTTGGAAAAAGTGTGAAATTTTATGTTTTTGGTTGAATTTTATCCGGTTAAAACTTGTGCGGTATAACAATCTGTGTGGTGTTAGTTGTTTTTGAATATAGGTAAAACCGGACAACACTTGGAAGGATTGCTTGAACGGTTTATTAATCCGGCTAGTTACCGGACATAGCTTGAGCGGATTAATATTAAACCGGATAACACTTCAGAAATGGTAAGCGGTTTAATAGTTTGACCAGTTGACCAATCGTGAGGTAAGTGTGCGGTTTAGGAATCCGCTTGGTAAGTAAGCGGTTTATCTTGAACGGTATTTGACTTTGAACGGTATTTGACTTTGAACGGTGTTTGACTTTTGTTGATTGAATCTCTTTGAATGTTGACTTTTGTGCGGTTTATACTTGTTCAATTTTAGTATATTTGCACGGTTTACTTTTGTGCGGTTTAAGTTCATGTGTTGCCCGGATTCATAATCCGGATAACTTGTTCATATTGAATATAGTGTTGATCGGACTTCTAAACCGGACAACATTGTGCGGATTGCTAATCCGGACAAATTTTGTGCTTTATTTCCAAGTGTTGAATGTGTGCATATTACAGTTTACATTTTATCAAATAATTTTTTTTTGTAAACTGATCTTTTAAATTCAAACTTTGAACTACAGTAGATCCTAAATTTTCATACTACGAAGATGAGTTCAAAAGAAGYRATKRCRATTGGTACTGATACCAAGCCACCAGTATTGTTTAGAGGAGACTACAATCAGTGGAGAGATAGATTCTTGAATTTCATTGAAAGATTGAAGGAAGGAGAAATGATCTTACAATCTCTACATGAAGGCCCAGCTGAATTCTTTGATCCTGTACCAGCTGATCCTGTTATGGGTGTTCCTGAACAGAAGGTACCAAAGCGTAAAGATCAATATACTCCTGAGGATAAGGAAAGATCACATGCTGACGTGCTGTGCAAATCATACATGATGCAAGCACTAACCAATGACATATACACAAGYATAGACAGCTACAAGTCATCTGGTCACAKCATKTGGGTTCAAATAGAGAAGATGATGATGGGATCTAAGGTTGGGACTCAACTAAAGATCACTAACTGTATTTCTGCGTATGAAGAGTTCAAGGCTAGGGAAGGAGAAAGCCTTGATGATGTCTATAACCATCTTGCTAGGTTGCTGAATGAGCTYACGAAGAACGGAATCTCTAAAACCATGATAAGTCTAGATTTCATACGAATCTTGAAGAAATCTTCATCAAATCTCAAGAACAAATATGAATTCAAGATAGATTGRAGAGAGAGAATTACTTTGCTGTCAAATCACCTTTTCCCTGATTAATGATGTAATCAATGTGTAATTACAATTACAAAGGAAAGACTATTTATACTAAGGAAAATAAAGCTAAACTAATTACAATAAAGCTAAGTAAATGGAGAAACTTGAATACAACATTTTAGCACTAATCTTGAACCCAACATTCTCCCCCTTTGGATTCAACTTTGGACTCTTGTAA